AAAGACAGAAATCTTGGGTAAAGAGAGTAGGGCTTCTGTCAAGACCCAAATCATGGTAAGAAACTTCTGTGGTTAATGAAGAGGCATTAATTGTCACCCAAGCAATTTTGTGTGTAATATAAAATGCAATAGGAAATCGAAAAGCTGATTGAAAAGTAAATGGGATCATGTCTTTAAGTTATAATTCATACAAATTTAATCCCTTAAATCACATGTGATGAATTTAAAAAGCAATGTCTTTGTAATAATGCAGTTTAATATAGATTTAAGGCTCTCCATTTATGATTGGGAAATAGGTACTAATGACACCTTAACACTAAACTGTGTTAAGCCTAATAAAATTGAATCAAACCAGGGCTGGACTTTGGATAATAGTTCACATCAACTTATTAGTGGAAAGTATGTGACACTTCTATCATTATATTAAATACAAGATGGCTTGGTCCTCAGTTTGACAGACACATATATTCTTTTTTTAGATTAGTACCTATTTGCAGTACATAATGATTACATTCATCGTGCATAATACATCTCAATTCGTTTTTCTCCTCAACTTCCTTTTTTTTTTTTTTTGCCAGTATCAGGTTCATTTATTTATCTTATAAATTCTTATAAAGCCAATTATCATAAATACAGATTAACAACCAGACTAACATGTCAAAAAAGATATAAAGCACATAAAATGATTATACTAAATCAAGGTACATTTTTAAATACAATGTCCATGCTGGATTGCAACAACTATTTTTTTCTCTCTCTTTTTGCCTATTGAGATTAATATATTCTTAAAGTGCACTTTTCAGGTGGACACTTGACACCTCTGCTGAGATGTCTTCCAGATACTTATGTTTTCAGTTTTTCTTTTCCATTGAAAATAATATTAGAAAGCTAGGAGTTTAGCTCAGTGTGTTCTTAGTTGCATGAGGATCTGGGCTCAATCATCAGTACCAAAAATAAATAAGTAAATAAAATAATATTAAAAACAGTCATGGTGGAAAGCTAGGCTTTGAGAGGGAGGGGGCTGCAAAACACTGATTGTTATTAGAGCTCAGTGCTAAAGCCAGTCCAAACCAAACACACTTGGCTAGATGAGAAATTCCTTAATCTGGCTGTCTTAGCTTCCTGGGGCTGCTGTTACCAAGTACCACAAACTGAATGGAGTAAAACAACAGAAATATATTCTCTCACAGTGTGGGGGCCCTAGCCTTCTCCTGGGCAACCTCTGAATTCTTCCTGGGGTCACCAGTATACTAGTATCGTGTGTACTGTGGATCAGATCAGTGACTCTAGGGGCCTGGCAGGATTGACTCCAATTTAAGAAAACAAAATCTTGGAAAGCTTTGGAAGTGGAGTGCACAGATTGAAATCCAGCTATGTCTGATTTAAGCCCATGCCCTATCCTCTATGCTCTGCCATGATCCTAACTCAAATAATGCTTGATCTTTGTCTTTGGAAAGAATCTTTCAAATCAGAACCCAATTCTTTCATACCTTTTCCCTCAAACAGTTACTAGAATGAGAGAATAGTGATAGAAAATATGGTGATTGATTTTTTTCCTACGCCAGAACATCTGGCTATTTCCAAACACCACCCCACGGCAGTGACTTTTGTGTTAGATTACGAGTTAGCCATGGGCAAAAGACCATCTGTTGATCAGAGAACCTTCTCTTTCAAGAGATGAATTTCTAAACATTTTTAAAATTTCTTTTATGTAATCTACTTTTTAGAAAAATACATTAGGGTCCAGAGATCTATCTCAGTGGTTCTGCTGCCTGCCTCTCAAGTGCAAGGACCTGAGTTCGATCTCCGGTACTAAAAACATACACTGGGACAATTTGAGTTTTAAAGGAATATCATCTGTCATCAGGTTCCATTTCTCTGCTCGTTAAATAATTTTAAAATCTACTCCCTCATAATTATATTCAATATTGCAGCTTAATTGACACCCACTAATTTGACTATTGCAGTGGCTTCCAGATGGGTCTCTCTCCCTCCAGCTCCCTCCCATCTGATCATGCTTGACATTGCTGACTCATTCTGATACCACAAAATGTTTTTATATCCTTGTTTGTTTTTGTGATAGGGTCTCACTAATGTTGCCCATGCTGGCCTCAAACTCTTGATCCTTTGGCCTTACCTTCCTAAGCAGTGAGGATTACAGGCACGGGCCACTGCATCTAGATTCTACATTTAAAAAGTGCTACAGTGATTGGGATGTAGCTCAGTGATAGATCACTTGCCTAGCACATGCAAGAGCTTGGGTTCAATCCTTGATGCTGAAAAAAAAGTTATATTCATTTAACAAATATTTACTGTGTGTACTCATGCCAGATATTGTTACTGTAAGTACTGCACTACACCAATGAACCAAAAAAAATTCTTCCCTCCTAGATATTAGTAACTATGTTTGTCCTCTGTATTTTCATATAAATCTTGGCAGGTAAGAATAATGACAATGGTGGTACTGGTTTCATCTTAAACATCTTTGGTAGGTCAGCCATTACCCTAAACCCTTTATGTACAAATTATGTCATAACAATTTGAGTAAAAGCTTTTATTAGGCTGTTTTGGGATCAGGAAATTGAGACTCAGAGATAAGTAAGTGTAAAATAAGAGATTAAAAAAAATTTTGCAGGCAAGATTTGAATTCAGCACTTTTTAATGTGAAGGTTTTGGCCCCTGGATCATCCATCTGCTCTTAGATATTTAGTTTGTGAATGAATGAATGAACCCTATGGAAGCTCCTTGTAGAGCAGGTAAGTGCTTCAATAACACGTCTAAGACATGACAACTTTATATACTTGTTCACCTGAAGCAGTGGTTTGCTCCAAATGGACATTTGACAATGTCTGGAGACATTTTTGATAGTTGTAACTTCAGGAAAGGGGCTGCTACTGGCATCTAGTGAGTAAAGGCCAGGGTGTTTTAGTCTGTTCAGGCTTCTATAACAAAATACTGTAGACTGTGAAACTTGTAACAGCAGAAGTTAATTCCTCACGATTCTGGAGGCTGGAAAGTCCAAAACCAGGCACTAGCAAATTGGCTATCTTTTGAGGACTCAGTTGCTGCTTTACAGCTAGTGAATTCTGTCTCTCTCGGGGGAGGGGTGAACTAGTTCCCTCAGGTGGTGTTAGGCGAGTACGTCATTGGTGGAGAAGTGCCTTAAGTGGGAGACCTTGGGTTTGATCTCCACTACACCATAGAGAGAGAGAGAGAGAGAGAGGAGAGAAATGGAAGGAGGGAGGGAAGTATAGAGAAAGGGAGAGATAGAGAGGATTTTCCTTTTTCTCTCTTTTTAGTACTGAAGATCAAACCAACAGACTTGAATATGCTAGACAAGCATTCTACCAATGAGCTACACCCCTAGCTTTCAAGTCTCTTTTATGACAGCACATATCTTAAAATCCAACAACAGGGGAGCTTTTCATACCAAGCAACATCTGTTCACCTCTTCAAGAGCTGCTGCCACCCTACCCCAAAGAACTTAGAGAAAAGAAAAAAAGATTAAATGACTAAACTTCTATTTTGTGACATGAACTTATATTTTGACCTTCATGTCATGAAGTGGGATTAGGAAACCTGGGAATGTTCTTGGGAACACAGGAAAACATGATGCTGTTGAAACCAATATCATAGATTTGGGTCAAACACAGATCATTTAGTCTCTGACGAAGAACAAGTGTTCCATAATCACAGGTCAGACAGCTGTCCCTAGCCAACCGCTTTCCAAATGCTACCAGGATGTCAGCTTGCAAGATGGATGACTCAGGACGGGGCCCATCCCTTAGCCAGCAGTAACTCAGTTTAAAGAAGAATGTTTGCTCTCAGTGGCTTTTGGCATTAGTTTTCTATAGGAAGATTAGAGCAGGAAAAAACATTTTAAAATTATATAAAAGTATAAGATTTGATTTGTACATTACTGTTTCCATAAATAACTGGGTAAAGTAGTACTTAAAACATGGAAATATATATATATTTAAGAGGTAATCAACTGATACACAATTTTCCATGAAAATCCATTATTAAATTTAAATTGAAAGATGGTTGTGTCTTTAAAGTATAAACAAAATGTATTTTAACACATAAAGAACACATTCATTTAGAGACTCTAAAACACAGAAGAGAAAAATAAGGGTCTAATTATGTTTTTAAAGTACTGAATAAACAACTGCTTCATCATGTGTCAGGGTTTCTCAGTGTCAGCACAATTCTGTGCTAGAGGTCGGTTCCTCTGTGTTATGGTCAGAATGATTGGACCCCCTTGAAATTTGTATGTTGAAACCTAATCCTCAATGCAATAGTACCAAGAGCATTTAGCCTGTAAGAGGTGACTAGGTCATCCTGGCAAAATGTGGAAAGCAGTCAGCTGGGGACAGATATCTGGTCTGTTACCATGGAACAGTTGTCCTTTGTGGCAGACTAAATGATCCTTATTTGACTCAAATCTGTGATATTGGTCTAAAAAGCATCATGTTCTTCTACAAGGTCCCAAGAACTTTCCCAGCCTTCCTAATCCCACTTCATAGTTTGAAAATTGAAATATAAACTTATGCAACATGACAAAATAGAGACCCTATTTATTTAGTCATTTTGCGTTTCCCTTAAAAACAGTCCTTCGAAGTTCTTTGGGATAGGACGGCAGCACTTCTTGAAGAGGTGAACCCTTGTGGCTTGGTAGAAAGAACTCCCCTGTTCATCAGAGGTCTGGAATTTATTTGTTTATCAAGGAGTCTATCTTTGACAGACATTAAAATCAATGCCTGTTTTGGTCAAGCATCTGCACATAAAAGAATGTACACTTTCTTAGCTAAGTATAAATTTCAGCTCAAAGACTGGAGCCTGGTAGTGTCTTTATCCTGACTGTTCCATAATACTCTTAAGAGGTTACACACATTTATTCTCAGTGCCTATCCATGTTTTCTGGTAAATTCTGAGTTTTTTCTGAGTTTTCTTAAAAAAAAAAAGCTTTCAGATCTTGGCACATAAAGTTGCAGACAAAGTCACTTTCTTAGAGCTTTTATTACAGGCTCATTATTGTTTATTCATTTTTTCAGGGGTCTTCATCGAGAGAACCAGACAGCATAATCAGCCAAATGACCAGGATACCATTAGTTCACTGCACAGATTTAGCTCAAGGCAAGAATGGCGTCATCTTGGTCATCTCTAGGAGGGAACACAGTGAACATTCAATGTTAAATATGACATCTGTAATTAGAAAGATCAATGGTTTGACCATAGCAATTTAAGGATGAGGTAATTTGAGGGGGGTGTTGAAAAGTAGCAATTAATTAAAACTTTTCAGTGCGGTTTATTTATGCCTCAGTGAATTCTTTATGTTCTGTCAAAGGAACGCCTTACGTCTGGCCTCAGTATCCCAATAGGTTAAAATATCAGGTGAAGGATGTGGAATTTGAAATAAGCTAAAACCTCTCCATTCCCCAACCCCAGCAGTCCTGGAGGTCGAATTCAGAGCCTCGAGCCTGCCAGGCAAGGGTTATGCCACAGAGCTGCAACCCCAGCCCTTCTCTGCCTTTCCTTATCCTACCTTCACAGCCCCTTACTCCGCCTCCCTGGGATCCAGGCGGCCGTCTTTGAACACAGGAACAAACGAAGAACGAAGAACGTGTGAATAGCCAGGGAATTAAGGAATCAAGTTTCACTTACTAAGAAAAACTAGAAGGATTGAGATTAGATTAGGCAAGGTGGCGAAGGGCTACTGGCAGGGAGAGCGCCGGAAAGTTACAACTGGGTTATTTTTGTGCAGGTGTCTCACTCCCCAACTTTAAAAGACTCTGAGGTTCCCCGGCCAGGGGGACTCCCTCAGCCGAGGCCCCGGTGGCTCTTCAACGACCCCGCCTCGGGGTCCCCGGGCGGCTCCCGGAGAGTACGACGGCCCGGGACAGCGGAGCGGGTGCGGCGCGAGGCGCGGCGGTTCCCGCGGGACCCAGACTGGCGCGGTGAGCCAGGCCGGCGGCCGCCACCTCCTCCCCCCGCGTCCCCGCCTCCGCTGGCGCCGCCTCCTCCCTCCGCCCGCCTCGGCCTGCTCCCTCCCCTCGCGGCTGGCTCCGCGGAGGGCGTGCGCCGGGCGCGAGGTGTCGGCGGCGAGGCAGGGAAGTTTCGCCCGGAGGTCGGCTGTGGCGCGGCCCTGCGCTCTCCTCGGCGGCGTCATGGCGGAGCCGAGCGGCTCGCCCGTGCACGTCCCGCTCCCCCAGCAGGCGGCCCCGGTGACAGCCGCGGCCCCGGTGACAGCAGCGGCCCCGGTGACAGCGGCGCCGGCCCCGGCCCCGGCGGCGCAGGCTGTGGGCTGGCCCATCTGCAGGGACGCGTACGAGCTGCAGGAGGTGATCGGTGAGCGCGGGGTGTGGGGTGCGGATGCGGGGCTCGCAGGCGCCCGGCTTCGGGGCCTACCGGCGCCCACAGTTCAGGGTTCTTTCTGTGCGCTCTCCGGTGCATTTGCTCGTTCTCTGCGCGCTGGTGCGGCGGGAGGCGGCGCGGCGGATGTGACTCGCACTGCGGACGAGCCGCATGCTGCAAACTTTTATCTCCGGATCGCCGGGGCGCTGCGCAGGGGACCCAGCATCGCCGCCGCACCGCACCGCACCGCACCGCTCTGCTCTGCCTCGCACCCTCCCCGCGCCGGGGCCGCTGCCCGGCCGGGCCAAGCGGACGGAGGCGCAGGGGCGGGGTCTCGGGCGCCGCCCTGGCTGCGGGCGCCCGGAGGGCTGCGTCTTGGGGGGACCCAACGGGCGTGGCGGCGCCAGCTTCGTCCCTACCCTTTCACCGCTAGGACGAGGGCCGCGGAGGCCCGGCGCTGCCTGAGCCCGGAGGATGCTGGCCTCCCTTCCCGGTGGCTGCCGCTGGGCGCCCGCCTGCAGCGTGGCTCTGCCTCGGTGCCGGCGCCCTGGCCTCCTGCCCCTGCCGGCCGGATGCTGCGCGCTGGTCCACGGCCGACTGCTCCGGTGAAACCCGAGGCTGTCCTCGATCTGCTGCTGTCTGCCTCGGTGCCTTCCAGTCGGTGCACACACATATCACCTTATCTTGCATTTTTAAATACCCGGAAAAGTGAAACGGCTAGAAGCCGGCATTACTTTTCTTTGAGCACGTGAAGGGCCAGGAGATTTGTGTCTTCCCCTCGCTTAGAACCTTCCCTACTGGATCATCCGGTTAAGTCTGTTACTTAGGGAGCAGGCCTGGGCTTCTAACCTTCTTGATGCTGGGATGGGATGTTGCTGTCCTAGAATCTTGATATTTAACGACAGGAATGAAGGAGGAGTTCAGGGCATTTATCTTAAATATTTTTTTCTGCCTTTCACTGTAAAGATGTTTTTCACATCTTCTTTTGAAAGATTACAATGAGTGTGATTTCATGGTGTTTAAATGAGCCTTTGTCACAGGCTTCCATGTGAATGAAACTGACTGAAGTGTACTTGTATAGGAGAAAATTAAAATTGTCAAGAGATGAGTCTTTATGTCACTGCCGGGATTAGGTAACTTTAGAGGCGTCTCAAAGCCTGGAGGTCTCCATGATGACCCTGTTAACCTGGCAGGTGAGCCCTTTGGCCCTCAACCTGTGTGCCTCCTCCCATGCCCTTCAGTGCTTCTGCCCTAGATCTCCTGCTGTCCTAGCCTCATTTGCCCACACTCACTGGGCCATGCCTGCGGCCCCCAGTTGCCTTCTTTGTGTAGTAGGCCTGAGTATCTTCTGAGAACCTTTCTGGTTCTTCGTGGGCCAAGTATTGTGGCTGCTTCTGGTCTTTCTACTTATCTCATAGCGTGTAATTCCATAGTTTTTATTTGCTCAACAAGGCTTGAAAGCTTGCTGTGTCCCAAGTACTGTGCTAGGTACTAGCAGTATAGAAATTAGGCAGTGGTCCCTGACCTCAAGGACTTTACCATATTAGGAGACAAGGGTTTCAAAGGATTCTTTCTATAGGATTGTGATGAGCAAGTCCTGGGAGAGCCCAGATGGATAGTGACTGGAAGGAGAGATAAGGAAGCAGGATATGTTTTAGACACTGTCATATTTGAGCTGGGTTTTGAAGTCTGAGTAAGAGTTTGGAAGGTGCTTACTTATTTCTATTGCTGCTTTCTCCAACCAACAGTGATCTCCAGTGTCTTATTTATCCTTTGTCCCCCAAATGTAGAGGTAGGCCCAAAAGTTGATTCATGATATCTGCCAGAGGTTTCCATAGAATCCACAGGGTCAAGACCAGAATTTACCTATAGCCATTATGTATTTATTTAGTGAATTATTAGAGTTAAATTGGAAGGTTTGTTGAGTTAGCTACTTTTTTAAATGGATGCATAAAATCTTAGTTTAGGGAGATTAATTGCAGGACCTCTTTGCAGTAACGACATTGTTAATTATGATTGGCCAATTTGATGGAAAAAAATTTACGGGAGGAGCTTGAGAACATAAACACCTGCTTATTCTACTTCTATCTTTTCTCTCATATTCATACTGTGAGAAGGGATTTTCTACATTTTAAAATTCATGTCTTATTTTCCAAACTAAAAGAGATGGCCTGGGTAGGAGCCTTGTTATTGAAAAATCAAATTGCTGGAATAGGATTCTGCAAAGGCGTAATGTTTATAGGGAATTACAAACCCATTTCCATTTAGTGTTTAATGCTAGTTGACTGATTAAGAGTGAACTTGTGGTTAAGTGCTTTTGCTTAAACATTACATTCAAGAAGTTAGTAGTTAAAACACAGAGCCAGTTTCAACATGAATGCCAGGTGACAGGCTTTGCAGCTCCCGTGCCATAAGGCAGGTGTCATATGATAGGACTCTGGCAGTGTGAACTGCCACCAGCAGGAGGCTCGGAAGCGCCTGAGCAGAAAGCTAAGGAAAGCCTGGTGCTTTTTACTTTCCAGCATGGCAAGTGGGCTCTGAGTACTTTTTCTTCTTTCCCTTCTGGACAGCATTAGGAGTGATTAGGTTTCCTAAAATCCAAACAGAGCAAGTTCACTTATTTGACTTCTTGTGTATTAGAAGAACAAACAGGATTTTCTAAGCCTAAAAATAAAGTTTTCTCTTTGCTGCACTGTTGTTCCTTGTATTATAAAAGAGCAATAAAGAAATTGCAATGTTCTTATGAGTAATCTGGGTCAGAAGTTTATGCATGACTTAGAAATGATTAAAATTGGTTGGAGGGAGGTTTGTACTTCGAGAGGGGTTAAAATGTGAAATTATTTAATTTTTTCTTTCATCTCATATCCTTGGGTTATAGATGTCAGGTATTTGTTTCCTCTACAAGCAACTTTTCTTTTGAGGCTTTTAAATCTGTTTATACCCTTTAGCTTCATTAATCTTTGTTTCTTCTCATTTCAATGCATCCCGAGTTCCTTCCTCAGTAGTATAAGGGCCACTGAAAAGATAACATTTGAAATATTAAGTTTGTTTGTTGGTGGCATGGAGTGTTACCTTGATTCTTTAAACGGACAATAAAAGGTGAATTGTGGAAATGTTGGCTTGAGCTTTCCTGGTACAATGGAACAACCTTGATGAGCTTTTCATTCAAGGAGTTTTAATTTTTGCAATATCAATTTTTATAATTCTAGCAGTATCTTTGTTGATTTTCCTCTGAGAAGCACTAGATTCCTGCTTCAAAATGTTTGACTTGCTTAGAAGTTTTGCAGGACAAGTCTTTGTTTAACGTGGTCTTTTGCACTTGATTTCTCAGCATTACTTCACTTTTGTCCTGGGTGGTCATTTGGAATGATCTAAAAATAACAATTAATTTGCCATCTTAGTCAACAAGAAGACTTGATTCCTAGATCCCTGCCCTGCTTGGACAGAGGGTTCCTTTGTGTGCATTGTTTATTCTCTCCTGAGAGGCTTTGTGGGTCTGTGTGGGTACATTCTCAGAGACCCGGTACCAGGGCCTGGGGCCAGTTCCTGCATGAGCAGTAGCTTCTCCTCCTAAAACGGGGTCTGTGGCCAGCCCTGGGTGCTCCCCCTTTCCTCTGTGCTCCCAGAGCTTCTGGACAGCTCCATGGTTGCTCAATTCCAGGTGGTTTTGTAGTTTTCCTGGGGGCAGTTTGAGGACAGCAGTGGTGACACTGGGTGCCTCTGGAAGTGCTGAGTGTGTTTTCTGATTTCTTAGACCTTTACACCAGGCTGCCTCACTGCTGCTGCTGGTCTTTTTACTTCGATTAGTTTGGCTTTTTCCTTTTTTCAAAAATAATATGAGAGGCCTGAGATGCTTGGCTGAAGACAGGGCTTTGATTTTAATCATTTTACAGAGGGAGGGTGTGGAATGGGGGGAGAGCGAGATATTAAAGTCTGTATGTAGAAATGTTTCTTTATATTTATTGTGGTAAAATATATATAAATTGCCCAAGGCCTCCAGCATGCTAGGTAAGCACTTTATCACTGAGATACATCCTGGCCCCATTTTAACCATTTTTCATGTATGTAATTCAGTGGCATTTACTATATTCATAATAGAATTTCTCCTTTAGCCTGATGTGGTGGCACATGTCTGTCATTCCAGCTACTCAGAGAGGCTGAGGCAGCAGGATGGCAAGTTTGTAGAGCAGGCAACTTAGGGAGACCTTGTCTCAAAATAAAAGAATAAAAAGGGGCTGGAGATGTAGCTTAGTGCTGTGTTCAACCTTCAGTACTTCCAAAAAAAAAAAAAAATCGCTCCATTAAATGTTCTGTTCCAATTCTCAAGTGGGAAAAATCTCTGGGTAGAAGCAATTTATGGAAGAGTGACTACAATCCTTGCCTTGTTGATGCATTTGATTTGTGACCAATAATACCCATTTTCCCCTGACTCTTAGGGTTTGTTGTATTCTCCATTTTTCGATGATGTTTGAAGACAAATTACAGCACTGCTGGCTCTAGAGTCAGATGGCCTGGTCTGTTTCATGTCCTGCGATGGGGTCACTGGCATTTGTGACCTTGAGCAAATTACTTAGATGTGTCTGTACTCAGTTCCCTCATTGGTGGCGTGAAGATGATAAAAATAGGATTGTGAGGATCAGA